CCACACACACACACACAACTGCAGAGAAGAGGCTCAGTAACTTTGATGAGGATAGTCCTGTAAAACTTTTACTTTCCAATCTTTAATGAGCTGGAAGATTTATTCGGCTATAATTCAGAGCTCAGAAACCGAGAATAGAGACCCCTAACCAGTGACACGTTAATTTAGATTTCTTTTCTTAGTTGTGCACTAACAGGCATGGGGAAGTCCTTGGAAAGAGAGATGCCCCACTATATTTAACTTTGATGAGGATAGTCCTGTAAAACTTTTACTTTCCAATCTTTAATGAGCTGGAAGATTTATTCGGCTATAATTCAGAGCTCAGAAACCGAGAATAGAGACCCCTAACCAGTGACACGTTAATTTAGATTTCTTTTCTTAGTTGTGCACTAACAGGCATGGGGAAGTCCTTGGAAAGAGAGATGCCCCACTATATTTCTCTGTATTTTAATTAATTTCAGCTTTCAAAGTGAAATGTTGGCTCTAGCTCACTGAAAATAGATGTAGTCTAAATTATTATTTCATGTAAATTTCTTCACAAGTGCATGATTCAGTGTGGGTTCCTCCATTATTAGTCTCTTCAACATTATTTCAAACTGGTTTGTTCCCTTTTGTGCAGTATGACCTGGTCTTGTATTACAATAATCCCCGATGTACCCTTTTTTTCTTTCTTTTTTTAAAAAGAGAGGCTAATTGAATTATCTCATTATTTTAATTTGTTAAGCAAATGTATTTTGCATCTCAGGATGTGTTCTTAAAGAAGGGGGCTGCTAAGGCTTTGCCCCCTGAATGGGCCATTGGCCCATTTTGACATTCATGCATTCATTAACTAGCAGAACATAAAAGAACTCTGGTTGTATTTTTTTTTTCCAAACACCCAACCAGCATGGAGCAACTTTTCCCAATAAGCCACAGGGGTCTCTCTACATATGTTCTCAACTGCAAGCTATTGTCACCTATTCTGAATACCTCAAAAGGCCCAGAGAAAGAGGAGCCCCACCTCAACAAAGGCCAACTGTAGCAATTGTTCAGTCTCAGTCTCAATATGACAAAAATCATTAACCTTCAGTTTTCTTGGAAGAACAAGGCTCCACTACAACTGTAACAGTTAAAACAGTCTCTCAAATTCCTGTGCATCACCACCGTTAGGGGAAAAGGTAATGTACTCACAGCTAATTGATTATATGGAGAAAGCATTTAAACTAAATCCGCAGTGGCATTAAAGAGCACATACACAAACTATTGGAGGAATTGAGGAATTTTTATATTCAGAATTCCGCACTTTGAATTTGCTTCATCTGAGGCTAAGTAATTAGGTTCTATTTTCTAACTACTGATCTCCAAAATGTCTTTTAAGAAACCTACAATAATCTTAAAGAAATAGATCCATATATATATTTAGAAACTCAACTACTGAAAATGTTGTATATACTATTACCCCCTCTTCTATTGGTTAAGACTACAGGGCTGTGCCTGGCTCT